AAGTGGGAGGCCATGGCTGGGTGGTCCTTCCTCCTGCAGCTCTGGGGCTGCAGACCAGCCTGCACCTCCAGGAGGGGCTCAGGGACATTTGATTTCCTGTTGCTGTCACTTCTGCATCCCTTGGACACACTTGTGCTGACTTTCCCTTCTTTGGCCTCCATCCTGAACAGAAAAGCTTCCCAAGGACCTGGTGAGAATGGTTTGAAGGTAAAAGCAGATGCACAGGCTGACCTGACCTGACAATCTGCTGCAGACAGCACAGGAACATTCTAAGAGGTGGTGAGCAAGGTTTCTTGCTTGCTGAAGAGAAAACAAAGCTCTTGGTGCAGAAGTGGCTTGTGATAAAACCCACTTAATTGACAAGTGGGAAGAGGCTTATGGGTCCCTTCTCTGCTGTTCTCTCCCTCCCAGATGAGACTCTGGCATTAAGTAATACTCCTGCTCTGAGCAGCTGTTCCCATGGCAAACAGCCATTCTGATAGCACAGGGAGGATTCTGGGGCTGCAGAAGCAGTGATTGATAAATTACCCACTGCTGCTTCCTCTCTGTGCCCCAGGCCTTGCCTCACAGCCAGGAGTGCAGGTGAGGGTCTGTGCTGGCCACAGGAGAGGAAACTTCAGGGATTTGAGCCCTCCCACCTTGAGAGGGTGGTGGGTGCTGGGCTGTGCTCTCCCCCTGCTGCTGCCCAGGCACTGAGCCTGCCCCTTGCTGCCTCTCTGTGTCATTCCTGTCATACCTGAGACACCCAGGGCTGTGCAGGACTCCTGGGAGAGCTCAGGGGCTCTCAGGCACCATCACCACCCCCAGGCAGGTGAGGGGGTACCTTGGCAGTGGTGTCTGAGGCTGGGAGAGGATGGGCTGATGCTGGCATCAAAGCCCTTGTACTGCAATCCTTGTGGACCCAGTAAAGCACTGCAGTGAGGAGCATTGCAGTCTTAAGGTCACAGTTTTAGTTTATGCCAAACTGGGTGAAAAGTACAGCTCATTCCTTCGTGGAGCTAATGATTAACATATCAATTAGGTGTGAGAAGAAACAAAATGTATATGCTCAAGATAAAGCAGACTGTACATGAAATAAGAAGGTATTGTAGTATTTGTTTTAAAAACAAAGTGGGAGTTATTTGCACTGGTTTGTGCAGGCCACTGCTGTGTGATTACAGGGGCTGATACCATTTTCAGGGTAAGCATGATTCATGGTGCTCTAGCTCTTTAAGGCTGATTAGGAGCTGGGAGGGTCTCTCAGTTCACACCTTCTCCCATCCTGTTTTAGGAAAAACAATGAAACCATCAAAAGTGGAGCCTAGAACTGAGTGCTGTCTAGTGCCTCTAACAGAAATCACCCTTGTTTCTCATCTTTTTGGGACCACCAGGCTTCTGTCCATAGTGACAAGGATCCTTTGTGCTGTAGGAGGTGGTTGGAGGGCCCAACCTTGGCCAGAAGAGAGGCACAAAGCAGCTGATGAGGTCCCCATTAAGGCTCACCATAGAAAAGTGGGTGGCTCCAGCTTGGAAGCACTCAGACACTGAGGAATCTCACAAAAGCCACAATTCCCTTCATTGGGAGATTTTGGATTGGGTTTGGATATGGTGTTTGGGGGGTTGACACTGTGTTTGTACTGCATGGGCTGGGAGGAGTGGTGAAGCTGCTGCCACGTGCTTGATGTGCTCAGGTCCTCGTGTCACTGTGATAGTGCCCTGAGGCCAATGGCCCCGTGTCCAGAAGGAGCAGATTGGTGTGAGGGGTCTCCAGGCTGGTGAGACTTCATCCAGCCTGGCTTTGAGCTGCTTTTCAGCTTGCCTGCTTTGGTGGCTGTAGCTGAACAGTGACCACCCCTCAGCTGCCCTGCTCCTCTCCTGTCCTCTGCAAGCCCCACACCCAGATCACAAAAGCTGTTTAATGCTCTGTGTCTGTGGTTAAAATCTCTCTGGCAATTCGTGTGGTGACAGCAACAAAGCTGCAGCTCCTGAAGCATTGATGTGGCTTCAAAGAAAGCTTCACAGCTGGGGTGGCTGTCTGTCCCCAGAGCTTTGCCCAGATGCTCTCCAGGTGTGCAAGTTTCCAGTGTTGATGGTGTGCACACTCAGACTGCAGCAGTGCCAGAGCTGCCCTTGAGACTTGCTCTGCTTGGAGAGGAGCTCTGCAGGGGAAGGCAGCAACCTCTCAAAGGTGTATTTCAGGTGGTGTCTTTGGGGCATTCATTGAACCTGGAAGGTGAGTGGGTTTGTTGAAGTACCACAGCTGCCTGCCACGGGGGAAAACCACAGCTTTTTTTCAGAGGGTTTTTACAGAAAGGTGCTTTTCCCACAATGTGCTGCTGGTTTAAATGGCTTCCACCTTTTGGCAGAAGAAGAGGGAGCAAACAGGAGTGCTGTTTCACTGTTTCTAACAGAAAGGCTCACTCCAAACCCATGGTGAGTCCTGGAAAGGTCTTGACACGGCTGCTGTCCCTTGGCCTGTCCTGATCCTGCCCCAGCTGTGCCTGAACTTTGTCCAGCTCTGGGCAGCCCCTTCCAGCACAAGCCATGGCAGCAGTGCCAGGGGGCTGGCAGGGACAGGGACAGGGTGATGCCCATGGACACTGTGACCCCCTTGTGCAGAGGGGCAGCATCCAACATGAGCCAGCTGAGGCCTGGCTCCCTCTGCACAGGCCCAGGCTGGGGAAAGCCATTCCCTTCAATATTTCAGCAAGTGTTTCATAACAGCACTTTGGACATGCCTTGGTCGTGTTGGCTGTCGCTGTCACTTGGCTGTAGCTTAAAACTTCTCATGGATTAATCATAAATACTTCAGGCAAGCACTCCCTGTAGTCCTGGACAGCTGATTTTAACTGGCAAAGGACAGCCTCCCTCTGCCATGTGGATCTGGATGTCTCAGGGCACTGAGGCCCTCAGTTTTGGGTATGGCAATGCTCTGGCACAGCAATCCAGCTCCCCATGGCTCAGAGGTGGGACAGCCTCAGCCTGACAGCTGGTTGGTAGCCAGGGCTCTCAGGGCTCCAGCACAGGGATGTCACCATCTTACACAGGACTCTTGGAGCATTTGGTGTGTGTTTTGCCTCCACTGATTGTAACAGGTCCTTCTTAGACCAAACACACCAAAGAGCTGCTTGTTCAGAGCTCCTGGATCCACAAGGTGAATAAAGCCCAGACCAAGGCCCTGGGTCACCTGTCCATGGAGAGCAGGCAGTGGGCAGAGCTGCTGTGTAAGGTCAGGGCTCCAAGCCTCCTTGTTCTCTTTTCAAGTCTTCCAGGCTTGGCTTTGAGTGCAGGGAGGAAGGAGGGGCCTGACCAAAGTCCTGCCTGCCATGTGAGAGATTCCCCTTGGGATAGGATGGGATGGGATGGGATGGGTCTGTGCTCCACCCCTCAGGGGGATGGAAGAGGGTGCCAGGCTCACGAGCCATGGACCTTGTTCTGCACTCCTGTGGGTGTGGCAGGGGCTGGCCCTGGGCACTGCCCTGCCCTGCACGGGGGGCAGGAGGTCGTGCAGCCTCCCCCTGGCAGCAGCACCCGGAGCCAGGCTCCCATCGGGTCCTGCTCTGCTCCTGCTGGGAGGTGCCAGCCAGGGCCCTGCAGGGGTGGGCAGGGACCGCAGCTCCTGAGGGAGGAGAGTGTGGCACCTCCCCTGCTCCAGCCCTGCCTGTCACAGCCCTGCCTGTCACAGCACAGGCTGTCACAGCACTGCCACCTCCTCCCGGCGCTCAAGGGAGAAGGGCTCCTCCATCTTGACATTCCTGGAGCAAGGGCTGCAGGCGCTGTGACAATGGCCAGAGGGAGGTGGGCAGCAGTGCCATGCAGGGGCTCCCCTGGGGCTGGGCTGTGCCTGGGCAGAGGATTCCTCTTCTCTTTATTCCTCTTGATGAGAGAGAATCTGATGAGGCTCAGGCTCAGGCTGTCCCCAAGCACAGACATTTGGGGGGTACTGGATTCTCCCTCTCTGCCTCAGTTGGTGGTGCCAGGGTTGTGGCATTGTGTAAGCTGGAGCACCTCATCCTCTGCCCATGGCTCTGCAGAGCTGAAGGAGTGACTGGGGAGGGATTTCCTGGGCACACAGCAAGCCCATGGGAGAGCCAGGCTGGTGCCATGAGCTGTGTCCTGCCCAGATTTCTGCCTCCAGCACCATGTCCAGCACCAGCTGCCTGCCTGGCTTGGACTTCTGTGTGAGGGCATGTTTCCCACACAGAGCACAGCAATGAGAGCCAGGAAAGCTTCCAGAAAGGACAATCACCTGCCTGCCCTCAGACTGATGCAGTTCTGGATGTGACAGCCTGGGCTCAGCAAAGAGGAACCAAAGATAAATTGCTCCCCTGTCCTGATGGGCCTCAGGAGCTGGCACAAAGAGCAACCAGCACTCTGGCCTCAAGTAGGAGACCCTGCCTGGAGAGCCCCACCCAAACCTGGGGCTCCCTCCTGTGTGCTGGAGCAGCTGGCAGTGGGCAGTGAATCCCAGCTGGCAGTGGGCAGTGAATGAATCCCAGCTGGCAATGTGCAGTGAATCCCAGCTGGCAGTGGGCAGTGAATGAATCCCAGCTGGCAGGGGGCAGTGAATCCCAGCAGCCTGCCAGGAGCCTCTGGGCAGAGATGGTTTCTGTTCATGAGGCGATACCTGGAGCGTTTGGGCAGCCGCCCCTTGGCCAGGGCGTGTCACTGCACTGCCACCTCCCAGCCTGTGCCTCCTCGGGTGTGGAGCCGACAGGAGGGACATGTGCAGGAGGGACACGGAGCTGGAACTAGGACTGGTCCCTGCCTGTCATCCCGGGGAAGGAGGCAGTTCTGTGTGTGGTAGGGCTGGAGCAGCGCTGGGCACCAGCTCCTCCTTCGAGGGGGCTGAGCAGCGCCAGTCTGAACGGACAGACGGACAGGCTGCAGACAGACGTGCCTGCAGCTGGGGCAGCTGGCAGCTCCTGCAGAGCTGACCCGGGGGCCGGGCCGCAGCCGGTTGCTGTCCCTCTCTGTGTGTTGTGGTGCCGATCTGTGCCTCACGGTCTCTGTGCCCGCAGTGTACGTGGTGGAGGAGCGGCGGAGGGACGACACGGGCGAGAGCGCCTGCCTGACGGCGTGCTGGACCGCGCTCTGCTGCTGCTGCCTCTGGGACATGCTGACCTGAGCCGCTGCCGCCCCGCCGCTCACCGAGTGCTATGCAGGCTCCCCACTCCTGTCCCGACTTCTTTCTGTTACTGTAATCAACGCTCTGCTTTGCACAGCCAAGAGTTCCCGTCTGTCCGTCCTAGCGCCTTGTCGGGGTGGGGGGTGCACTCCTTTATTTTAGTAAAGGAAAAAAAAAATCCCTTTTTAACATTTCTAAGACTTTTGTTGTAACTTTGAAGAATGTGCTAATGGTGTATTTCAGCCAAAGGCATTCTGATGAAATGTATATTTACCAGTTGAGATTTTCCTAGCCCTAGAGACGAAGACGTACGCAATAATTAAAGCCAACAGTTGATTTTTCTTCACTAGGTCCTGGCTGTCTCAGTGTCTGTCTGCAGGGTGGGCATCCCCTCTGGTGCTGTCTTTGGCCTCTTGTGGGCACTCTGTGGGTGGGAGTCCCTGGTCTGGCAGCTCCAAGCCCCTCATCCCACACAGGGCAGCACAGTTGGGTTTTTATCTTTGTTTCCCCTCCTGGAACCAGGGCCCTCTCCAGCAGCTCCTGGCACAGCAGAGCTGGGAGAAGCACGGGCTGGGCTGCTGTGTGTGTGCCCCAGCAGCTCCTGGGGCAGGGCTGGTCCCAAGCCCTGATCCATCATCCCACACTGCAGAGCAGAGGCTTGCAGGGGGTAAATTAATGGGTAAGAAGAGAAAAGCCATGGATTAATCTAGTGCTGAGGATTTAGAGCTGAAGCTGTCCCATGGCACGCCTGGCCAGAAAAGGGATACAAAGCTTTTGTCTGCAGAAAAGTGGGGACAATCTGCTGCTGGTTCCATGGAGTGTGTCCCACCCTGCTGCTCCCCCAGCCTTGGGAGCAGAGCCCCCCTGGTGTCCTGACATGCACCAGCTCTGCCTGGAGATCACCCAGGGATCTTGCCCTGCCTGCAAAGGACATTGCCCTCGCTGTCTCTTGGCTGAGCAGCCTGGGGCTCTGTACAGCTCTGGGCTCAGCAGTGCAGTCTGGGGCTCTGGCCTGAGCCAAGCTCATCTGTTTGGGGTTGATGAGAGTCCCTTGCAATTCCCTGTCCCCAGGAGCCGCCTTCTGGGGGCTGCCCTTCTGCAGCCATAAGCTCAGGTCTGTAGCCTGGTTTCCAGAGGTCCCTGCCCTGGGAATGAGCACTGTCACCTTCCCCATCACCTCCGTGGCAGCCTGGCAGCTGTCAGCAATCAGGAGTGGAGTCCCTGGGTCACCCTCCGCGGTGGGGGAAGGTGGAGCAGCCAAGGGCCAGCCCAGAGTGTGAGAGCACCCGTGCGCCTATGGGGTGACAGCACGGGGGGGCGGCAGCGGGACCTGGAACCTCCGGGATCCCGGGCAGCGGGACCTGGAACCTCCGGGATCCCGGGAGCCTCCGGGAGGCGCTGGGAGAGCGGCGGGGGCCGGGCCCATGCGCTGCCCATAATGGCCACACGGTGGCGGTGTCCGGCCGCGCAACCGCGGCCCTACCGGGGCGGGAACGGAGCGGGAATGGGAGAACGGAGCGGGAATGGAGCGGGAATGAGGGAATGGAGCGGGACAGAGGGGATGGAGTGGGAATGAGGGAATGGAGCGGGACACAGGGAATGGAGTGGGAATGAGGGAATGGAGCGGGACAGAGGGGATGGAGTGGGAATGAGGGAATGGAGCAGGAACGGAGCGGGACAGAGGGAATGGAGCGGGAATGAGGGAATGGAGCGGGACAGAGGGGATGGAGTGGGAATGAGGGAATGGACAGGGAATGGACCGGGGATAAGGGAATGGAGCGGGAATGAAGCGGGACAGAGGGAAAGGAGCGGACACAGGGAATGGAGCAGGAATGGAGGGGAATGAGGGAACGGAGCAGGAATGAAGGAATGGAGTGCGAATAAGGGAATGGACACAGAGAAAGGAGTGGGAATGGAGTGGGAATGAGGGACTGAAGCGGGACAGAGGGAATGGAGCCGGAATGAGGGACTGAAGCACGACAGAGGGAATGACCCAGGGCACCAAGAATGACCTGGAGCAGTGGGAATTACCTCCTGGTCCCTGTCTGTGTCTATGCCCATGCCTGTGTCCATGTCCATGCCTGTGTCCATGTCCATGCCTGTGCCAGCCCTGCCTCCCTCTTCCCCCACCACCCCTCCCCAGCAGGACCTTCCCAGTGCCCACATGCACAGGATGAGGCCCCTCAGCCCAACTCCTCCCACCGGCCCCTTTCTCCATCACACCCCTGCAGGGAGAGCAGCCCAGAGACACGTGCTGTGTTTTATTCAGGTGGGTGGGGATCAGCCAGGGGTGCCACTACTGTGCCCTGCGGGCCATCAGCATCTCCCGGATATTGTCCTCTGCTTCCTTCACGCTCCGCTCCAGGTACGACTTCTTCTGCTGCAAGGCAGAAACCAGAGGTAAGTCAGGATGCCCCCAGCCCTGCCAGCACAAACCTGGGTACCAGGGCCCAAAGCCACCCAGGCAGAGCTGTGGGTGCTGGATGGGGCACCCACCACACTGCAGCTGTCCCATGTGGGGACAGCAGTTACTCACTCCCAGAGGCACAGGCACAGGGCAATGTTTACACAGACTGAATTTTGTTCCCCCCTGAAACCTCAGAGCTGCAAAAAGTGAGAGCCATGAACCTCAGCAAGGAAGGAAATCAAATCAGATCCTATAACTCTTGGAGTCTAGAGAGAGACTGACATGCTAAGCTTCCTTATGGAGACACAGCAAAACCCTCTCCTTGGGCACAAAAGGTTCTTTTTCCCAGCTGGGCCATTTTCTAACCCTATATCCTCCTTTCTATCAGCAATTCCCTGGCATCGTCACCAAGTACGTGTTTCCTTAATCATCTGTAATTAGGCTGGGCTTGGCAGGGAAGCAGCCCCAAGCCGTGCATCCCCTGATAGGAATTCAGTGTGCAGCGTTTTTCCTGCTGGTCTGGGTGCTCCTCTGTGGCTGGAAAAATCAGCACTTGGCTCTTTTGACTATTTTCTCTGGGTTTCCAAACAACAGACACAACAGTCTCCTCCAGTGTTGCTGTGAGCACAGGCTCCCGTGCTGCCTATGTAAAGCCCTGCCCTGGGCCATGCCAGCTCCCACTGAGCACTGGCAGGGTTGGCATTACATTCCAGGAGTCCAGGCCTCCACCCAGAGCATCCTGCCAGAGGCTCTGCCAGTCTCCAGTGCCAGGAGCCCAGTACAGCAGCAGTGCCCCCAAAGCCCACCCAAACCAAGGAGAGGTGAAGGGCAAGAACTGCTGTGCTGCCCTGAGAGCAGTCCTGCTGCCAGCACTGCCCCTCTGTCCCCCTGCTGTGGCACAGCTGCACACTCAGCTGGAATGGCCCTGCCTTGAGCACATCTCTCCCAGCCCTGCTTCTGAAGGCTGAAGGGTTTGTATTGAAATCCTAAATGCTGCTCCTGACAGGCAGGGCCAGGGTCATGGCCCAGAGCTCCTTGTCCCTCTCCCTGCTCCCAGGCACGTGGGGTCTCTTTCGCTTACAGGAACTGCTTTTGAGGAAACCACAGGGAGAGGAGCAGCCACAGGTTCCCACTGCCAGTGACTCAGTGACACAGAGCAGGACTCTGTCACCGCTGCGCTGTCCCCACGCTGCCGCACAGATGTCGAGGGATTTCCCGCATAGGGAACTGAGTCTGAGGGCAGCAAGAGGACACAGGCCCAAAAAACCCTTGTGGCTCAAAGCTTCACCTCGCTCTGCTGATCAGAGGAGGTTGGCAGCAGCAGAGCTGACTTCTAGGGGGACATTTTTTACTAAAGCTTTTTCTTAACACCATTAAATTAGTGCATGAAATAGTCCTGCCCTCCTGTCTCCTGCTCCCACCAGGCAGGAGGAGACAGCTTCAGAGAGCAGCTCTCCACAGACACACTGTCCAGCAGGACTGGGAGAGCCCAAGAGAACTTCAGACATCCCATCAGGAAGCCTTGCTGGTGCCCATGTGTGCCCCACTTCCATGAGGACAAGGGACCCTGACACAGCAGAGGAGCACCCACACAGCCCACACATGGACCCACACTGCACCCCTGACATGCTCTGCCCTCCCCATGGCAAAGGGCCTGGGTTTAAGGCCATTTCTGCACTTAGGCAGCAGCTGCAGTCCCAGGTAGGACAGGATTCAGGGAATTTTTCTTTACCTCAATCACTCTCCTTGGTCACCTAACTTCTGAGGCACAAGAATCTGGGCTGGTCCCAATACTTTCACTCCCTCCCAGAAGCAGTTTCCAGAGTCCCATCTCTGGGCTCCAGGAGCATCCTTTGAGCATTAAGGGGAGCCCTGCACCCACAGCCAGGGGCTGCAAACACCCTGAGCTGTCCTGCAGCCAGGCAGGAGCTGGGGCTGGCTCCCACTCCAGCCCACAGCCCGGATCACAGACGGGCGCCACACTTTCCGAGACACGTGGCAGAAGCGAGGTGTTTGTTCCCCAGGAAGGGGAACTGCAGCCTGGGCTCTGCTTCAGTCATCACCAGAGCAGGGGCAGGAGGCTGCTGCAAACCCCTAAACCCCTCCCCACTGCCATTACCGGGGTCTAGACAGGAAACTCCGTCTCTCCCAGGGAGCAGCGCCGAGCGAGCGGCTGACACACGCTCTGCCCACTCACCCAGAGCCGAGACACAGAGCACAGCTCTGAAGTCATGCTGGAGGCTGTTCCGGCCCAGCCAGACCTGCCAGGCTGGTGGGATCTGTTCCCTGAACACCACCCTGCATCCCCAACCCCACCTCCAGCTTCCAGCTCACAGCTTGCATTTGCACCGCAGCCCGAGTTAACCCTATGTCCTCTGAGCCCTGGTTTGGGCCAGCCTGTGGCTGCTGTGCATCAGCTGATGCATTCCCCTGGGAAAATGGGTTTGCTGCTCCAGGAGATCATCCTCTGCTACCTGTGCCATGGCAAGTGCAGCCTGGGGGAATTCCCAGGGCAACGTCAAAACTGCGCTGCTGGTTTTGGTCCCTCGTGAAACCAAAGGTGGCTGCTGCTCTCTGAAGCCTCTGGTTTCACTCCTACAGCTGTAGCTCCAGTGCTCACCTGTCAGGAGCCCAGGGGGACATAGCAGCAGCCCAAGGGGACATGGCAGCAGTCCAAGGGGGCACAGCAGCAGCCCAAGGGGACATGGCAGCAGCCCAAGGGGGCACAGCATCTCACTGGCCTGCCCCACTGTGAGCTGCTGACCCACAGCTCCTACTCACCATACCAGTGCCTTGAACTGCCCCCACCCTCCCCCAGCTCCTGTGGGCCCCTGGACAGGTAAGGTGGGTGCCCAAATCAGCCCCAGATGCCACTGCCTGAGCCACAGAGCTCCAAGGAAGAGCAGAGAAAGGAGAGAGGCTTTGAGAAGGCAGCAGGGGGAAGTTGCCACATGACACTGAGCTCCCAGAAAAGCCCCAGCTTCCGGCTGACAGCAGGGCCAGGCTCCACAGGAGGCTGGGCAGTGCCCCTGGTGTGCTGCTCTCCCCCTGAAGTGTCACCAGGAGTGTGGCAAGGCAGTGACAAGGAAACCCGGAGGGCACGACAGGAAGCAGCAGCTGGTGTGTCAGCCAAGGGCTCCAACTGCAGCAAGGGGCTGGTTCCTCCTCCTGCTTCACAACTCCCACAGCCATTTGCTAGAAAATTATTCCACAAAACTCTCTTGTGGGGTTTTACTGAAACTTATTTCAGAGGAACAGCCTCTGACCAACACTGGCAGGCCCTGGCAGCTCCCCTGCTGCCAGAGAAAGGCCAGTGTGTTCCCATGAGCCAGGCACAGCTCCCTCACACAGGGAGGGATGACCCAGGGCTGCAGGTCCCGTCAGCACTGGAGAATCTTCTCCCCCACAGAGCAAGGAAGGGGAGCTGGAGGCTGCACAGGACAGGGTGCGTGGGAATGGAGCAGGATCTGCAGCTACAGGACTCCAGGTGGACAGCACGCTTCCAAAACTGAGCCAGCTGACCTGATCCAGCCCAGGACATGCTCTTGCCTCCTCATTTCTTCCTGCCACAGGCCACCCACCAGTTCTCATCCACTCTCTCCTCTGTGGTGACAGCCCTCTGATCCCCCTTCTGCCCCACACAGAAAGGGCTCTGCCACCTGCACTGGGACACAAGAGCAACACACAGCCACTGCTACAGCTGAGTGAGGTCTGGGCCACCTGCAGAACACTGACAGGGTGCAAACCCACAGAGGATGGCCCCAAAAGCCAGTGCAGCCAATGCCTCCCAGCCTGCTTTCCCAATTCCTTTAAGCTAATACCACTCCCAACAGTTCCTTCCCCAGGCAGGAAGGGCTGCAGCACTTGGGAACAAGACAAACCACAGCCCTGATGATCTGTCTCAAAACTAGACCCAAAGGAAGTGTTCTCACCTAAATCTGCTTTCTGGAAACAGAATTGCCATACTAATAGCTGGCAATGCTCTCCATCTGGCACCAGGATGGAGAGCAAGAAGATCCCTCCTTGGGCAGCAGAGCCAATTCCACCAGCTGGGCCTCCCAGCACATCCTGGGGGCTCAGAAACTGGAGTTTGCACCTCTCCTGCCCCTGAGTATAGATGTGTCACCAACCTGGCCCATATTCTCCTCTGCCAGCTCTAGGAGCCTTTTCCACCTCCAAGGCTTCCTGCAGCCTTCCTAAAAAAGGTGTGCAGGGCAAAGGGTGTGTGTGGTTCAGTGCAGCTACATGGACTAAAACACCATCTCCCACAGCTGGAGGTGCACCCAAAATGGGACTGACCACTCAGGCAGCCCCATCTGACAGGCAATGCACATCCATCCATCCATGAACCCTGCCCAGGAGGAATTGTGGCTGGACAGCTGACAGCTCCACAGGCAGAGCTGCAGGGCCTGGCAGGGAAGGCACCACCAGCCCCAGGAGGAGAAGGGAGGGCAGGGCACTGGTGGGATGCAATGCCCACTGCCAACACATTCCCAGACACCTGTGGGGGGCTGCAGGCAATGGCTTTGGGGGTTCCATCAGGCCTGGCTGCCTCTGTGATTGCTGGTGTAGGAAGTGCAGACTCCTGGAAGCACCAGCTTGGCTGGCCCCAGCCTGGGGCAGTGCAGCACCACCACGAGCCAGCCCTCGCTGTGCACGCTCCTGACCAAGGTGTGCTGGCGTGCCCAGCTGTGCCCTGGCACGGGTGGCTGCAGCCAAACAACATCAGAGGACTCGCCCTGGCACCACCCCGTTCCTCAGCCCTCCCCTGCCCTTCACTCCCCATGGCAGCAGTGCCTGCTCCCTGACCAGCTCCGCGCTGTTTGCTTTTGGCAGCAGCTGTGGAAAGACTCGAGCGAATGCAAATACAATTCCAGCTCACACCCCAAAGAAGAAAAGGAGCTGTGGTTAACAGAAGTGGCCCGTGGCCTTTTGACACGGCAGGAGTCACCTCCTGCTCCAGCCTCCACCTCTGCTCCCATTGCATCACGCAGCTGCTGCTGCTGCTGCTGGAGAGGCCCGAGCTCCTCAGGATGACGCACCCGGACCTGGCATTCCTGGCAGATTAAAGAGCCAGCATCCACAGATTCCACAGCAAGAGAAAACTATTAATCAGCTTTTCTTGGATGGGCTTTTGATGATCAAAGCACTGCCTTCCCCCCAGCACTGTGATTCAGACGCCTCTGCCTTCAGGGAGAGCAGCTTGGCCGCTGCCAGCCCCGCGTGTGGCAGGGCCTTGGCTCCAGCCGGTGGCTCAGTGGAACAGGGGACAGCATTGTCACCCACCCCAAGAGCCCAAACAGCCCTGTGCTCCCAGAGAGAACAGACACAGCAGCCCTGCCCATCCATGCTGCCATACCCTCCCCCTCACAGGTGAGTTTCCTGTGTCAAGTCATGGTTTATCACTCAACATCCACTTTTGCTCTTCAAATTCCACTCCTCTCACGTCACCTCTGCAAATGAAAGAAAGCTTCAACCTCTGACCTGCAAACACAGATTTGCTTAGGCCCAAACAAAAATGTTTCCATGGAAATTTTAGGATCTAGTATTGGAACATCCCTATTCATTTCAGCCTGTTCTTTTTTTCCCCATTTTTGTTTTTTAAAGTGTTTTACTGTGAGCTTGTTTTACACCCAACTTGTGAGGACAAAACAAGTTGGCAGGTCCCTTCCCAGAGAATATCTCCCTTCCCATGGCTCTCAGCATGCTTGGCTACCAGCCACCAGATTCTGGCATCCCACTCTCACACTCAGAAGGCTTCCGTTGAGGAACACTGCAGTCTTCAGGCATGATGCAGTGCCTCAAACAGGAGCCCTGAGACAACTCATCCTGTGACACCTCAGCAACCCTGTGGCTAGCCAAGAACTTCTGTATCCCCCAAAGTTAACCCAAACCATTTTTGGCATTGCCTGAGGGCTCTGTGGGAAAGTGATCAGCAGATCCTGAGTTAGAGTTGGGAGCACATGGTTGACTGGAGAAGATCTTCCCTGGGAGGATGGCAAACTGTGCTGCCTGTGCACTGGGGGACCAGGCAGCATCAGCCTGAGCTGCCCTCACTCTTGGGGCCACCACTGCTGTTCAGGGCTTGGCAGTGCCCAAACTCCCTGTGGAGAGCAGCACTCCAAGCCCTGGCATGCACACCCTGGGGAAGGCAAACATTTTGGTCAGACTAAGCTCATGGAAGATGATGTGCTGAAGACACCGTGCTCTGTTTACAGGATTCCATTCTGAACCCCTGAACAGGAAGGAGGTGAACCTGCTGAACAGCACCCAGCTGCTCCTGCTCCAGGAGAAGCTGAAGTAGTGGACACCAGCAAGGGGGTGGGGTAGGTCTGCAGGCAGCCCTACGCCCTGATGGGTCCACCCAGCACTGGTCCTCACCCAGCTGAACACTGTGGCACATGTACACACTGGGAATTGCTACTCTACAGCAACCACCAAATATTTAGATACACTTCAAGACTTTCCAAGCAGTTATTGCCTCAGGAAGTTGCCCAGAGTTTGCTCAAGAATGAATGGCCTGGAATAGGAAGGGAGCCCAGCTGGTTTCTGACGACAGCTGCTGACAGAAGCGTGATGCCATATACCAAAGAGGAGAAGTGATGATTCACACCCTGGTTTTCACCATCTCTTCCTTCCACAAGGTAAAGGGGACCCACAGAACTATCTGGGTTAGAGTGTAGAAGAGAAAACATCAAGCATACAGCTACATTTGCCAACTCAAGAGAATTCTTACAAGCACCTGCCTAAAGAACTGCTGGTGCAAACATCATGGTGCACTGATCCTACTGCAGCACAACCAGCTGGGCTTCCCCCATCATTACTGAAGCACCTCGAGGAACATACTCTGAAAAAGCTAAGCTGGAAAAACCCCATTAAGTTCCATTCTTCCTGCCTTCAAGAGAAGAAGGGGCAGAAAGCCAGACTGCCTGCCAGCCTTTCTGCCCAACCCCAGCCTCATGGCAGCAGCACTTCACATGGACCCACTGTCTGAGCCACAGGACAGCACTTTCAGCAGAGATGGAGACAGCTGCTCTTGGTGAGAGGGAAATGATGGATTATTCCAGTGAACTCCTGCACCCTAGCCTGATGTGAACTACTACAAAAGCAAGTCGATGAGAACCTTTCAGTAGGTGGCAGCAGAAATGTATTATCAACCCAAAGGATTCCTTTAGGGACACCCCTTCTTGGCACAATTCCCCATTCAGAGCAGTTTCCAGGAGTACACTGCTCCAGGCTGGATACTGCATCCTAACCAGGTTATGACAGCAGAGTCAGGTCAAACAGAGAACTTGGGGAGGGGAAACTCACTCAGATCCTGAAAACCCCCACGTTGTGTTTCGGCGGAAGCGTCCCTCACCAAACTGCCTCTTGCAAAACGTGGTAAGTTCCCCATGCCAGTGCCTCAGTTTCTGTGGTCCTGCAGAGCTGGTGTGGCTCATCAGGATCCCTCCTGGCAGTAGGACTTGTGCAAAACCATACCACACCTTTCAGCTCTCGCAGTCCTGGCCAAGCAAGGCCACTTTAAAAGCAAAATCATTTCCATACATTTCAAAGACAAATCAGCAACAAGAAGTTGGTGTCAACTCCCACCCAGGCAGTATCACCCCCTCAGTTCAGACAGCCCTGAGCTCAGAGCAGCCACATGCCCACCACCATGGCATGAGGGACAGAGCAGGGGTGACCCAGCAGTGGGGACAGCAGGAAGCATGACGGTGAGGGCTGCCCTGCATACCTGGGAGCAAGGTGTGGCTTTGTACAGCTGACTCAGGGCTGGGTCAGGGCTCCAACAGGCAGGAACATGCTTTCCAAATAATCGTTTCCTGTTCTCCCCAGGCGAGATGGAGGAGGAGATGGAAGCAGGCTGAAGGTTTATCAGGCACAGATAATCCCCCTCCCCAGAGCTGCTTGGCACAAAGGCAGCCAGGAGCCACTGCAGGGGCCTGGTGACTAAGGGAAGGACAGCAGTGCTGGGTTTGTGACTAATTATTACTCATGCAAGGAGGAATTTGGAGAGGGACCCACATTCAGCTCAGCTCGTTGCTTTGGATACTTCTGCAGCCATAAGCACAAAGGAGAGCTTTGACAATGAATCAGACCCTGCTCTAAAATGAAAGACTTATCAACCAACTTGGTGTTAAAATGATTTCAGTGTAACCATAAAGGCAGCTTAATGCTAATCAGAGGAAACAAACCATGTTTTCAGGCTCAGATGAGTAAATGTAGGTTCCTGGATGGACAAAACCATTTAGACACAGCAGCAGAAGTGGGTTTTTATTAATGCATAGTGTGTTTCACTTTCCTCTGAATTACAAAGGAATGTGAATGGACTGGCAGGAGTTGCTTGAAAAGTTTTCTCTGTTAGGTTGTTGGGGTTTTTTTTAATCAAGAGTAATCCCCCTCCCCAAAAAAACCATAACAATGTTCTGAGATGCCTTTATTTTGAAAGCCTGTCTATAAGTAGCCTAAAAGACTTAAAAGGAAGCAAACAACCCCCACATTAATTATCCTCTTGCTTTTAAAATCTACAATTATCCACCCAAAAATAAAGGTAGGAAGAGTGAAAGCAAAGTCATCAAATTCCAGTTCTTCCTTCATAAAGCCTTTGCCCTCTCAGCTTGTTTGTGTGCTTACTTTGCAGTCTGCAGTACAGGGAAGACTAACAAAGAATTACTAATTAAACAACTGCTTGCAAAAATCTGGGAGTTTGAAAACTTGTTGCAGCGAATGATTACTCCAAATGAGAGATCCAGCCTTGCCACTGCATTCCCACACACATGTGATGATATAAATACACGTCATTGCACTCAAATCAGCATTACCCACAACCATTCTTCACAAAAATGTGGTGAGACATTAGTTTTTATAAGGCAGCCCAGGTCCAAGGTGGCAGATGACCCCTCCAGAGAGCTGGGAATCCCCTCTCCCCTTTGAAATGTGAGAGTTTCTTTCCCTGTGCCTATAAGATTCCAACATCATGTTTTGCAACCAGTGACTTGTGCACTATTTAACACATGACAAGCTTCTTACACAATTTTCAAAGCAGAACATACTGTTATTTGATCTTTATCTAACAAATTTAACACAGGACTAAGAGCCAGCTTTTAAACAGATCCACCTCCTTCCCTGCAGATACTGAGGAACACTTGCTGCCTTTAAAATCTGCCAGGTGCTGGCTGCACACAGCTGATTTCCATCTGTCTGCAATGAAAGGTGACAGTCACACAACAGAGAAACACCCATGAAGTTCAGCTGTAAGAATACAATCCTTTTGCCACCCTCATTTTTGAGAAACAAGACAGACCTTGAGGCTTTAAACATTAAAAAGCAAGTGAAGTGAATGATTCCTCACAGCTGTGAAGGCCTGTTCTTCATGTAACCATCAGCAGAGTCAGTTTGGGGAACAGAAAGAATTAGAGAAGCATTAGCTATGCCCCAATTCCTCCAGCATTTACCTTAAATTGTGTGGCCCCAGTCCAATGTCAGAGGGGCTCTACACAAAGCAGGGTTTTGTGTTGGTAGCATTAGCTCTGTGTCCATTGCACTCTCAACCTCCTCAGTGTTTTGTCATTTTGAAGTTATTTTTCTCATTGCTCAGAGTATCTTTCATTTCAAAAATCAGGAATGAGAACACAGATTCTCCTCCCTGTAAGACAGCCAGACCTATAGGGAAAAAAAGGAGCTTTGGCTACTCCCTTCTTCAAAACAAGGCTCTCATGGAGGGCAGAGCACTGGTAACAGCCCTGCCCATGCAGGCTGTGCTCTGCTCTCCCATGGGAGTGCCTGTGGATGCTCCACAGCTGACAGGCAGGCAGCTGGACCACCCATGTCCTCAAAAGCAAACTAAGCCTGCAGCTTTGCAGCCTGAAACACAGGAGCAACCCTCAGTGAGGGCACAGCCTCAGACATGGGATGACACCAGCCAAGAGAGTCAAGATGAAACACATTTCCCAGGAATGTCACCAAGTCCAAATGTCTGTGTCCAGAAGGACCTGCCCAGACACCCAGAGCTGCCTCTGACACCCAAAGCCATGCAAGATGCTGGGTTTGGCCTGGCCTGGTCCCCACTGAGGGGCTCTGCAGCTCATCTTCACCCTAACATCCATCATGTGTAGAGATCCCATAGCTTCCTCCTAAAATGTCCACACAAGCCCAAATACTAATCCCACATGGTAACCTCACTTCCAAACTCCACCTATCCCCACCTTAGGTGTCCTGCCTCCCTCTAGAGCGAGCAGAGGGACTGACCTTGCCTGTGCACTCTCAGGGAAACAAGGGGCAACTTCAGTGACAACGTGTTTAAAATCCTGCTCCCGGTACGTGCGCTCATGCCAGCAATGGAATGAGGGAACAGCACCCTCATCCAAAGTAGAATCTGCTCCAGGCTAATGCACAGAGAGTTATTCTTGAGGCTTCCCCTCTCCAAAGCAAACAGGAGCATTCCTTATTTCCCCCTGGTTAGTCAAAAAGCCAACCACACATTCCTGGGCACTGGCCTACCCCAAGCAAACCATGTGATGAGAACTTCTGCGCCATAAAACGCTGGAAGAAATTGGTCTAACTTGGGAACGGCCTAACAATTGCTACCTTCTGATGAGCATTTTGTGGCCTGCAAAGAGCACCACAAATCTCGAGACCTGTTTTCACATCGTTAGAGCCACCCACAGAATTGGCCTCCATGCTGAGGGTTTCAGTAAAGAATGAAGGGGAGTTGGAGCACGTTGGAGGCTGGGACCACACCGAGCAGGTCTATCCCAGCCATACCTGCCCCAGGCTCCAGCGCTTCTCCCCAGCCACACCTCACCAAAATCTTTGTTCCCACAGGGGAAGAAAACATTGCTGTGGCAACTGTCAGAGCCGACTCATCACAGGGGGGGCACCGCCACTGCGCCTCAGGGCTGCAGCAAAGCCATTTCAAAGCTCCCAGGAAAAGCAGATTAGAGAAATGGAAGCTGCAGCACGAGCAGGACTGTGCTCAGGCAACACAGTCAGTGGTCACCTGAAGGCATTTCAGTGCAGTCACTGTGTAACTTCATCAGCTTTGCAAACATCACCTGAGGCTTTAAACATGGAGCACAGCAGTGTTTGAGAGCACAGTGTTCCTTCCTCCACCAGGAAGGAGAGCAAAGACATTTTCTGTGTGGGATAGGGAAATTGGACATGGTGTTTTAGGGCTCGCATGAAGGATTTCTGAATTAGAAATCAAGCCTTTAGGTACAGCTTTCTTGATTATATTTTCTACTCCAGGCAGGCAGAGAAGAAACCAACCAACCCCTTATCTCAGCAGCAGTAAACTTTCAGTCTCCCACAGGCATGTGAAAGAATTGCCTGGGAAACAAGCACACAGCTATGTTGTGGTCAGAGTTTAAAACCAAAATCCAATTCCCCCAGAAAGCTGCAGGTTGCTTTTGCCCTTTTCCCAAAGGAGCTAAATTCAGTGGCACACAGCAGACGGAGCTGCCCAGCAGAGCCTCCCCCTTATTTGTTATTTTTAGCAATTTAGTCTGACAACGCCTGACAACTAAACAAGCTGAATATAGCAGGAGAGAAGGGGACTATCAGATATTATCAGAGAAAGCACACAGTGATAATCACTTTCTCCACCCCTAATGAAGAATCAATTTTCCATGTCTTTATAACATCATAGAGTTTGTTCTTTTTAAAATGCCACATTTAAAAACAGAATCCATCTAGTGCTACAATGGAAACGGATAACATTTCCTGAAACAAAGCATTGTTCCACCCCTCACATATCATGTTCCCTTAAAAACAAGGGAAGAAAAACATTACTTGGTTTTTCTCCTAATACTGCACAAACATTGCTGAGCTAAAAAGAGTCTGTGCTCATCCCTTTAGAATGCTTTCAAAATAGATTTAACACATACCCCTTGTACCGTGAAACACAACAAGAATTTGATAGTATCAGGACTGGAAAAATCCAATCCTGCTAAGCAGGACGTGTCCCATGCCAGAGTGTGAGGGAGCTGATGGCACCAATCTCTGGAGGTTTGGGTGAGCCCCGCTGGCACAGCCTGCCAGCAGGCACAGCTACTGTGCCAGCAAGCCTGGGCAGTGTGTTTGGATTCCAAAGGATTAGATACAAGTTGTGAAGTTCAGAAAGCCACACAGGTGCATATGGAGTTGGCAGGCTGAGAACACTGGGGCTGTTCAGCTTGGAGATGAGGAAACATCACTGCACCTTCCAGGACCTGAAGGGGCATACAGGGAAGCCAGAGAGATACTCTCCATCAGGAACTGGAGTGACAGGACAAGGAACAATGGGTTCAAACTGAAAGAGAGGAAATTTAGTGGGGAAATTAGAAAGAAATTCTTTACTAATTCAGGATGGTGAAGCCCTGGCACAGGAAGCCCAGAGAAGCTGTGGCTACTCCATACCTGCAGAGACCTGGGCCAATGGAAGGTGTCCCTGCCCATACTAGAGTGGTGGAGATGAGATGATCTTTAAAGCCATCCAAACCTTTCAACAAAAACCATTCTATGATTTTATTTTTATATCTATATAAACACACTTAGCTATATCCACATCCACACACAACTTTAACAAGCAGGGTAAAGCTACCTTTGGTTTTCTTCAGACAACTTCTGCAGAATAACTAACTGCATCATCCACACCCAGACCCCTTGGTGCTTTCAGAACACAGCTCCTCTCACCAAGTATAATGTGTGTCCCAGCCAAATTTTATTTTCCCAGCCCTTCACAAGGACAGGTCTGGCTGTCCTTGCTGCAAGGAAGCCCAAACCAGCAGCAACCCATCACTTTTGTGATGCTGCCTGGAAAACCTGGAAAAATACAATGCACTGCTTTAACAGTAGAGAAACCCACGAGAGAAAAGCAAGGGAATGACTGCAATCATGTAGTGCAGTGGAGAGTGTCAGAGGGAGAAGAGAGACAAAACTCCTCACAGTTTTCAAAGTTCACTGGCAGCTGTGAATGCCAGCAAAACCAGCTCACACCTCTGAAGCAAATTAAAGACATATTTTCAGGAACAGGCAGCTGGAGATCTCCTTGCTATGCAGCTGGATGGATTTCCAGAAGAGCTCAGCAGTGAACCCAGCCCTCCTCTGCAAACTCCTCTGTAAACAGCACCAAGGTAGAGGGAAGAGCATTTCTCAGATTCAGGAATGTATCAAAAAATACACATTTCACAGTAATGTCATCATAGCAAAGCACAATTGCCTCAAGCTCAGCTATGTGAGTAATGAGATCAGCCACACCATAGGGTACTGGGGGATTACTCTGAACAGCCTGATTCAGCTGTGCCAAGTGAGAAATGTGAGTAAGTCACAAGGTAGTTAACAATGTAAAATATAAACCTAAGCTTTAAAACCCTTGCAGTTTTAATAATGAATGGAGAGATGTTTAACCTTTCTTGGTTTGATATTTATTTTACAACGATGTGGTGGAAGCACAAGGTCACAAAGTTTCACATTCTTTCCTGCTTTGGTCACAACTTGTTTTCAGGACAGCAAAATCCCCTGCTCCTGTGATAAGCGCTCTCTGAGTTGGACCCAGGTATTTCCCCTGAAATCTCAGTTTCCAGCAGTGTCAGCCTAAGTGCTTGTCCTCTCTCATGGGGAATCCCAGGCCTAAGGAAAACCCTCTTCACAAAACTGCCACGGCCAGCTGGAAGGAGATCACTAAAAAGATGGACCTGAATGTTTACTTAACACAAACTT